AAAACAGACTAATTCGATTTTTGTACTTTTCTTTATTGTAAAATAGAGCAAAGGTAGAGGAATATTAATCTAAGAATATGTTCCATGCAAAGGACTATTCTTTCTATGAAAAGGGGATAAATGTCTGTAAAAGCAGTAAGAAAACATACAAAAGATCTTGAAAGTATGAATTCTGGAAGCATTCAGTAATACTCTGGTATATGTATGCACTACTTCTCTTTGCCAGTGAGAGGAGATATTTAAAATAGATCTATTTAGCATTTGGCTAACATAAAATATGCAATAAATATTACAAAAAATTTTCATTTTTATATTTAATGTTAGTATTATACACACCATCTGCAGCGTATAAAACATTATTGATGCACATAAAAATCGATCTAACACTATTCATTTTGCAAATAATTTAATGCTTGTCTAAAATGCTAAACTGCAACGAGGCTGTAAACTAAGGTGTCAATAAACTCATTGCATTATTATAATTTGGTTTTCTTCAGCAGTTTCTTTTCTGTAGCTTACATTATTATAAGAATACAATATCTAATAAAAATATAACATAAAACTTGCATATTCACTTTTTATGTTATTTCTAAAGTTTCTAGAGTTAAGAATTTTATGTGGATATTCCATAGGGAAATGACATTGATTCTTTGTTCAAGATTTGACTTGATTATTTTTAAGATAAATAAAATTGTCCATTTATTCTTTGGGAAACTATTATGGATTGGCAACAAAGGAAATTGTGGTGGTTATAATTTTTTTTTTGTATGTGTACTGTGTTTGTAAAGATTCTTTTAGTAAACTATGTATGTATATACAGTTTTAAATGTGCTCCATTGATTCCGGTGTTATTTAAACATTGCTATGATTCCACTTCTGCATCATTTCACTGTAAAAAGGCATTAATACTTATACCATATGGATTGTCATGATATTTCATGTTTCTCAATATTAAATGGATTTTAATGTTAGTCTTTGTGTTATTTAATTGTAAAAGAAAAGATTTTTCCTTTACAATGAAAAGAAAATAAGAAGAAGGTTAGAGAAAGACTAATTGTTAATTTTAAACTAAATTGCAGTTTAAATGTGTGTTCATTAAACAAAAATTATTTCTGTAAATTAAGTGTTTTTAAGAAATTGGGTAACATCTTCATGCAATTATTGTTATTTTTAAAAATTTTTTGAAACTATAGATCCTAGGAATGCACGACCCACCAGTGTCTGACAAGTAGCCAACTTGGCTTTAAATCCTACCTTACTTGTTTGCTGATTAGAATTTTCGTGAGTTTTCTCTTGCGCAACGGTGATATGCGCCAGTTTTCCTCAGAATATCCTCCAAGATGGTATCCCTTGAATGGAAAGTCCTTTTCTAATTTGCCTTCTTTATTTAAAAATAAGCTTGATATTTTCGAAAGTTAATTCGAAGGCCTGGATTCAAATCCAGCAAAAGCATGGGTATGTGTGAGTGTCATGGTTATGCATTACGGAAGAATTTAAAAGCTATGTGTGCGAAAGTACTTTTCAGAGTCTGGTTGCAACGGAAGAAATTTACAAGGCTTCCAGACACAGAAGACTAATTACCATTTCAGATATCTAAGATCTCTGATTAGCGATAGTGTGCAAAAATTCTCTTACCCGTGTTTCCTCGTGGACTGCCAAAAATTAATAAATAAAGCTTTCTAAGAGGCGAACTGCATTCATCTAAGTTAATCCCAGAATAAAAGTTTTAATGTCTTTGATTAGCGGTTTTTTATCTCAAACTAAACTGAACAATGTAATATAATTTCCGAAATACACTATCGTCTCTCCTCCAAAGACACTTCAGAACTTAAATGACACGCATTATGATTACGCTTTTAAAATTCAGCAAAAGATGTTTGAATCATTCCGCCATTTTTATAAAATGGCCGAATATTTATTTCAATACAATTAATTTTTAAACCATATATTTATTATTCCAAAACCTGAAAGGTAATTTGAGAAAGCATTTATTAAAAAAATATTTCTTTCCGTCCGAAAAAGTATATTCACTTGCCTTCGATTGCAAACCCTCCTTTTCTTTGAAATGAAGCAAATTCAGTTCAGTAAAGGCCGCTTATTCGAAATTGATATAACGAATACATAACCATTTAGTTATAAACATCAAGCAAAAATTTAAATTTTTGTTATTTGCTATATTTCGAAAGGAAATTATAGATCTGCCTAAGAAGACGTATGTCCTCGAAGAAGACTTTTTGAAAAATACTGGCTCTTTGATTTGGTTTCAATTCCTTATCAAAAATATGTACTCACAAGTATAAATGCTACCAAAAAGTATATCTTTATTGAGATATGTTAAAAGCATTGTTTTGTGCCACTATTGCCATCTGACTTTAAAGAACTCAAAATCAGATTCCTTTCATGCGTCACATCAGATAGGTTTCAACGTGTGTGAATGCTGAATTAAATAGATTGTAGACCTGCATATCACCTTAGCTAAGGATCTCACCCACACCATTAGCAATGTGTTGCAAGAAATTTAGACAATTAAAGTTTAATTTGTTGTATCAAGTAAATATGTGCTATTTATATTGCTTGCTTTAAGAATTTGTAACAGGGTGATGTTTTATTTAATTATGCTGAACCTTTATACAGATTTTGGTTGAAGATACTAAAATTCCACCTTAACTTTGTCCCGTATAATTAATTTTAATTAAATAGCTGAACTGAAAAAGAAACTGTTGCTGATACCTTAGGAGAATTAATGAATCAGTTTCTTTATTTCATATCTCTTCCTGTTTCGTGACTTTCTTGACTCATAAGAAGGATATCTTATCCATTCATAATTTATATAACGAACGATAAATTTCCAGCAGGAGTTCTAATTTCAGTTTATGAGTTTTCCATCTTTTTCTGTTTCTTAACTGTTTGCTTTTCCCATTTTAGGATGTGGTCTTCCTACCATTTATTCTGTTTATCTTAGATATTCCCCTTAAACTGTGGAAAATTCTGGAAGGCTATTCCAAAGACCTACCACTTTCGTGTTCAGTATTAGTTTCATTATGTTTGAGATCTGACTGAAGCTTAGATGTATTTACAGATTAAATATCATAATGTAGCTAATTAACCCAACACTCGAAAACTGCATCTGAGTAAATGAGGTAAATAATTCTTAAATAGATGTTAATTAAAGAAGAAATGCTAAGTGCTTCAGTTGAAATTAAAGTACTTAAATATTAAGGCCTGTTCAAATTCATAAATGGGTAATATTGCATTACAGGCTTTTATATTATGTTACTGCATCTGTATTATTGTCTGAGTAATTTTCTGTTTTGTGTAATTGTAATTCCTGAATTTTATATGTTTATAATGTCTTATTTATGTTGTTAGTTCTTATAAACGATAAAAACAGACTACTAAAATTTCAAGGTGCAAATATTTTAATGCTTGTGGAATTTGCATTTCTTTTACTATATTTAAAAACATTTCCATACTACATATGCAAAAAATGCATTTGTAGCCAACTACGTTTTCCTAAAGATCTCCTTAAATGAAGATCAACTTGGAAGACTTGAAATTTTATTCAGAGGAATAACAGCTTTCTAGTCAAGTTAACAGCAAGGAAAATAACACATGATGTGAAATTCTACTAATAAACGAGGACGACCGCAGATCACCAAAATTGTTCACAGAGCAATATCTAAAGCGATAATCAACTGAAAGATTGATTTTGTTTATTTTAATGCAAAGCATTTGAGGGCTATCTGCCTAACTGGAAAGCCTTCGTGGCGGACGTTCTAAAAAAACTGGCTTGTGTAAATATAAACAAGGCGGAAACCGCGTAAACGCCCATGTAGCCAGCCAATTCGACGGAATTCGAATTTCAGACCAAACTTACCAGTGTTCAGCGACTTTATCGCTCGGCCGCTGGTGAGCTTATCCGCTGAAAGGAATGTTCTGTAGTAAAACAATCGCAGACTTTGGACTGTCAACCAAAGCCCTCGATGAATTCATGGCCACTTATAGCGTTCTGTTTATATCTTGTGTAGCCTAAAACTTGATAAAACTTCGAGAAAAATCTCTACTAAGCCTTCGAAAAGGCGTTTTCCGGAAATTTCAAGGATGTTTTCAAGTTGGCGAGAAATCGCAAAATGTCATCTAGACTAATATTAGGCTTTTGCTCATATTTCTGGTTCTGTTTGAACTATCTCTACGATTCAAACATCAGTCGACTCAAAATTAAAAGATTTCGAACATCATATATGAAATAAACATGTAGAAATACAATATAAATTATCACAAATTCAGAATTGAAATAAAACATACAATACACAAATACAAAAATTATCTTACAAGATGTAGTAATTAAACAAATATATAGAAGTACTTATCTCGGTACGTAGAGGGTATATTTAAAACATTATATTTCTTTTAAAAAACTTGTGTGTTGCGTTTAAAATAAACACGTACGTTTAACATTTACAGAAATATTTAAAATGCAGAAATATAGATTAAAACATGTCTAATCCTCAGCGTCTTTCCCACCTGGGCGAGCTCTAGGCGATCTTTGTGAATTTGCAACTGACTCCAGACAAGAATACAGTAACTCAGGAACTCGCCACTGCTGAGTCAAGCAACAGATTTGCAGAGGGTGTATATGCAAGTTACTTCAAAAAATAGTTAAAAACTGTAGCAAACGCTACAAAAATACAGTCGACTCCGGTTAATCGGACGTCAACGGGAAGAGATCGCTTTGGTCCTAATAACCGGTTGGTCCGATTACATAAACATGTCCTATGTTGTAAGACGGGACGTGCTATATGTAACAGTAAATGTATATGTAAATCATGTACTAAAATGTAATTATGACCGTTAATGGCGCGGTACATATGTATGGCGAACATACATGTACAAGAATTCCAGTCGAACTTTTTTTCATTGAGAAAATTAATTTAGAAACTAATTCTAAGAAACAATCTCCACGATACTCAACATGCAAAACACAATAAAAGCAATTTCTTACCAAGTTCCAGTCAACATTTGAAGAACTTCTCCAATGTGATCTGACGCGTTCTCTTGACGGATTGCACGTGAACGCAATCGCCACAAACATTTAACGCAGCAATGGGACTGCCTTTATTTCCCTCCTGCATGAAATACCGACGCAAATTTTCAATGCATTTCCTCGCATCCTGTGTTGTCACTTGCACTAATTTATTAGCGGCATCATCATCATCACATTTTTGGTCTTCCGATGCTATCGTGTGTTTTGCTGCAACTCGAGCAACGATTGCAGCTTCATAATCTTCATTTTCATCGTAGCATTGAATTTCATTGTCAATGGATAAAAATTTTTCGCAATTTTGTACCTGTTGAAGTTCCACATGTAAATCATCATTTTCACTTTCAATGAGCATGTCCACATCCATCTCCAAAACCAAGTGCTTAAAGCCACAGTGAGAAAAACAGTTCTGAATTGTCTCACTGCTCACTTTTCGCCAGCTGTCGGCCACAAATGTAACTGCTTGTAAGATGTTGACCTTTGCACTGCCTTCGCTGGCTTTTGACGATGAAGTCAGCAAACTTTCTTCAATTGCTTCAAGGATGTAATTAACCAACCTTGCACGATAAAGGAGTCTTCAAATTTTTTATAATGCCCATGTCCATTGGCTGGACCAAAGCTGTGGTCCTCGGAGGTAGAAATTCCAATTGGACGTTCATCAAGCAATCTAAATGAGGATGTGCTGCACAATTGTCAAGAAGAAGCAGCACTTTTCTCGACTGGCGTTGTAGCTCTCTGTCCCAATCCTTCAGCCATTCTTTAAAAAGTTCAGAGGTCATCCACGCATTTCTGTTCGCACGATACACAACTGGTAAACTCTCCATCCTAAGTCCTTTAAAGCAGCGAGGCTTAGTGCTTTTTCCTATAACCAACAGCTTCCTCTTGTCCGTTCCTGACATGTTTGAGCAGCACAAAACAGTTATGCGATCCATCGCTTTTTTGGAGCCAGAGAGTGCAACATGTTTGTAACTTAACGAGCCCGTCTAGGTGTAGCACGATAATACAGCCCAGTCTCATCAGCATTGTAGATGTCATCTGCTGAAAAATGTTTCAAGAAGCTCGGGCAGTTTTGTTGATTTCCATTCTTCAGCATTTGCAGTATCAGCATTTTCTTTCTAGCCATGTACTTTCTTGAATATATGTCATGTCTAGATTTCCATCGAGACAAAACCGTCCGTAGCTTTCGGTTGGTTGTCATCGTGTCCCAGCTTTTTAGCGAGTTCTTCTGTTTTGCATTTTAACATTGGGCCGCTTACTTGCGCAGATCGTCCAGTAACAACCGCAAACCGTTCGTGAAGAGCCTCATCGACATCTGGGCCCTTGCCTTCACTCTTCCGTTTTTTGGAAGTTCCTTCTTGTTTTTCACATTGGACCCGTTCTTCTCGCAGCTCATTCTCTTGTTTTATCAAGCGTGAAATTGTAGTCTTTGCCAATCTCCGTTATTTCCACCAACCGACGCTGACTAATGTTTCGTGGTTGTTGCTTGATCTTATCCAGGAAACTAATTTTTTCAGCTAACGTTAAGTCTCGTCGTAACATTTTGGCAGGGGAGACAAGACACGTTCACAGTTCATTGACTAGTGGTCTGAAGAAAACTTGGTGTTTCGGGTTCAAGATGTTGAGGTCGAGAGGGAGATAAAATACTCGCCATTCAAAGCTTTGGAACTAAAATTATCCCAAAAAGGTGATGAAATGATAGCTTTCTCATGTAAACTTTAATCATGATTGACAGGCGGGAATTCCTTTCAGGTGGAGCCGGACACTCTATTGTTCATTTCCTGGGAACTCGGAGGTGCAGGTCAAAGAAATAGGTGCGCGTGTTCACCTCCCACCGGTTTTGCTTTTGTCATGGACGTTAAGGAATTTCTGACCTTTGATAAAGCATTATCCTGGGGAGCCGCAACTACAGATCCTTCCATATGTCGCAGACCACCTGTACATCCGCTGTACGCGGCCGACTTGTAGCTTCTGTTTCTTATTCGCTCTGACGTTTCTTTGGTCCGATTAAACGGAATTTTGGTCCCAAATAAGCGAATAATATTAGGCTTATGTACATAGGATTTGTTTCGGTTCTTTAGGATTTTGTCCGAAAAAGCGGCTGGTCCGATTATTTGGTGATCCAATTAACCGGATTCGATTGTACTTAAAACGCAAATTTTATAAACTGTGGCAGTCTTCTGTTCGGCTGCGTGCGCCGCCAGAATGTTGTTTTCGTAAGACCGAGTGGTGCGAGTGAACTCACTCGCATTGCCCTTAGATCTAGTGCAAGGATGTTCATGTATTCGTGTAGATGTTTCCTGTTGTGTTTTAGCGAAATGGAGTCATGTCTTTGAAGATTATTCACCGAGCCATGTCCTTAACATCCTAAAAAGCAAATAAATATATAAATTTACAAAATCTTACAACAATATTTACAACTTCGTATTTATTTTTTGAAAAACAGTTCTATGCTTGGGATAATCCAAAAGTTAGTAAACGCTTAGAACTTTATATTTCTGTAATATCCAGTACATTCTAAAGTAATTAACAAGTAAGTTAATGAAACGGATTCTTTAACAGAATATTACTAAGCATATGCAGTCCGTTAACGGCACTACCCGGAATATTATTGAAATATCGGTGATCTAAAGTTCTAGTAGAAACTACATCGACAGAGAGAATAGTCCGTTTTCTTTACCTGAAGGAATATTACTGATGAATAATTTCTATTTGATCTAAAAAAAATGCAGGAAGATTGTCATGTTTCAGATAGCTAAACGGCATGAGGCTTGATGAAAAGATGAATTTTTGTTAGGATTGAAGAAGAGGATTAAGGTGTTGAGACAAATCGTTTTTAGTAAGTTTTTCAGGAAACAGGAGATTAACTACATATGTCGCCGTGTCATGCAATTATATTAAAAAGGGCGTGAGAATCGAATGATTTACATGATTATATGTAAGGGTATAGCTGTTCTTAAATGATTAGCCCGAGTTAAATGGAGCTGTAACAGAAACCTTTAAATACAACTAATAAAATATATATATTCAGCCAGTCCTGAACTATTGTAACGAAATGTTGGTTTTAGCTTCCGATAGGAGGATTAATGGCCTTTTCAAAAACACATTTACGAATCGCGACTTTTCAAAAACACATTTTACGAATCATTACGGAAAAAGTCAAAAAAAAAAAAAAAAAAAAAAAAAAAAAAAAAAAAAAAAAAAAAGATGCAGCTATTCTGTATTACAATAATTAGCCTCCCTAATAGTTCTTTTTGGCGAGACTGCAATCACAATCAAGAAAGTAACTTGAAAGCTCAAAGGGGTTTAATCCATTGTGTACATGATAGCGAGTATTTTCACTTAATTAACAATATACCTATTGAATTACTCTCTCTTGTTATCCCTTTGGACTACATGAACCTTGATGTAAAACTGGGCTTAAATTATAAAATAATAAAGATAGGCTGCTGTCTCTCTGGAATGTATTGCTCTGAAAACTATTCACATTCGCTATCCTACTCATGATTGGTTTCATATCTATACAGATGGTTCTCATTTGGACTTCAGTCAAGGAGCTGAGGATGGTAATTTTTGTGAATTGTTTTATTTTTATCTGCCTGTTGGAAATTGCACGAGCTATTTGATGGTGAGCTGCAATCAATCAATGTAACTCTTAATTTTTCGTTCGCCAGAATTCCTTTGAGAGGGATGTGATTCTCTCTGATTCAATATCTGTTCTTCAGGCTTTATTATCTAATCAAAAGAATATAAGCTGTCGAGTCAATAAGTATAGATCTCTTCTTGTGAGAATTTCAGACTGTCCTTTCATACAGTGTCTGTTCACTCTTCCTCTACTAAATCCTGGAAGTCCATCAGAACCAGTTCACATCTTAATTCGAATGCTCCTCACGCAGCTACGATGGCCACTTTCATGTTGGCAAATTAAGCACTGTCTCTGTGCCCCTTTATTTCGTGTATTTTTTTTTTTTTCTTATTACGTGCTCCGCCCTTAGGCACTACACGGAAAGGGAGGGATGCTCCGTGGAGGTCTTTTTAAGGAAAACTCACATTACAAATGGGGAAAAACACGAAAACGCCCATGCAGCCAGCTCGTTCGCCGGGACTCGAACCCCGGACCGAACTACCAGTGTTCATCGGCTTTTACCGCTCGACCGCTGGTGGGCCTTTTCGTTTTAATGTTATCGACTTTTATGTGTGTGTTTTGTGTTCAATGGACAAAATATGACCAATGTGCTTACACGGACAAATGCTCCACATTATCTCATTTTAATCGGCTTGCTGAAAAATATTGGAGAGAATGCAGCCTAATGATCTCGTAACCAATAGGCTAGCATTCGATAAATAAAATTCTTAAGGAAATAGTTCAAAATGTATATTAGCCTTATTAAAAATAGAAGGAGGGTTTTCTGTTATTTATTGAGATGTATTCATGTTTTAAAATTGTGATATTAGGAAATGATTTCCATTTCACTTAATGCTTGCATGCTATCGTGCATGAAAATTTTGCTGAAATATCCTATAACTATTCAGTTGCAAAAGAATTGAACATTCAGTCAGTTTCAACACCTGCATAAGCAAGCTATCATCAATTTTTACAACGGAATGGTATATTCCATATAGCATAAATACATTCTTGGGATCACATGAAAATTTTACTCACGGATCAATTTACATTTCGGAATATCTTCTAACCTTCCCAAACAAATCTGCCTTTTGTTCTTAATACTACCTCGAAGTATATTCCTACAACAACATGGTGAAGTCCCGTTGACAATGGTTGTGACGTTAAAAATCGTAGGTACTGCATTCTCGCCGCCCAACCGGTAATAGTAGTTATAGCGTCGCTGACTGCAGTGCCGAAGGGTCAGATTTCGGATCCCGAAGATGGCATGGATGTTTGTAAATGTATAGTATCCATGCAGCATGGGACACTCTAAATATGCAGCGAGCCGAAAGTCTTCTCGAGACGTTGGTGGTAGAGGAAGAGGGATGGATCCCCGGGACGCTCTTCTTCAAAATTGGGGGCGGAACTGAGCTAAATCGCGCTGTCACCTGTAAGGTGCCCACGTCTGTTGTCAACGACAGGCGTATCTTGCTCTTCTTGCCACGGGGAATTTCGTGGGCTTGGGCTGACTATAAGTCAGGCAAGTGAGCATTAGTCAAACAAATAAACCGCATTCTCAGAAAACCCCAGATTATGGCCGTTACATACTCTCCCGAGTGCTTAATTTGACATTTCAATATATATCCAGATCATTTTTGAGAGAATTCAAGAAATCAAAATCGCTAAAAGAACTGAGAATAAACATTCTTAGAACATTCGACGAAACCAGTTTTCAGGAAAATGCGTTATGAATGTCATCAGGATGTTAATTTATGAATACAAGACATATCAGGACATCTTCGCACAGTCCTGAAGATAGCAGCTTAAAGACATCCTTGCAATGTTAAGTAATGAATTCCATAGTACATCTGAGAATAAAGATTCTTAGTGTATTCCGCCACGGTAAAGTTAGTGAATATTAGCAGTTCAACATGGGTTCGATTCCAGGCGAGAGAGCTGGCTGGCCTCCAAACGTTTAGTGGTTAGCTTTTCTGACTGCCAGGTGTGGTTGCTGACAGCCAGTACTGTCAAGGTGGTTGACATAATACGAAAGTGCTTATTGAAAATTCTCTGTTATCCTGGTCTATTGGTTGCCTTCCAATTCTGTTACATATTAGGTTAAAAGTTTTATATTTTTAAAAAGTTAAATGTAAAAGAAGTATAAAGAATAAACCATGAAATATGCATGCAATTTACGAATATTGTGACAGTAATTAAACAAGTTTGTTTTAGCCTATCATTAATGTACGTGTAAAACGTTTTCTTTTCGAAGCACATTAAATTTTTTATTTATGATCCTTTTTTAAAAAAATTTCCGTTGTAAATGGTTATCTCTTTAATAAGGAGGGTTTTGAACACACAGTTTTCTCGAGAGAATATACATGAATTTATTCACTTAGAAATATGTAATAGTTAGAACATCAGCTGCTAACATTCTATAGATAATTCCTAGCAGATTCTAATATCAGACTGGATAAACTGTGAGCTCAGCGAGAGCAAACAAACCCTGTGGTACGACGTTAAATCTGCATTTTTCAGAATTTTTTTAAGGGTACATGTTTCTAAATAAAAAAAAAGCATTTTAATTTGTGTATTGCTTTATTTCCGATAATTTCAATGTTCTATCGAAAATGATTCAGTTTTTCATCAAAATTCTAATCTGCATTTACTTTAAATTGGGTTAGGAGAAAAGTACTTACTTCAGCATACTCGAAAATAAAGTTCTTAAGTTAAATTTAACAGTAAAATATTTTATAAACGGAAAAAAATAAATAAAATATAAATTTTAGTCGCCAAATATAAATTTTTTCTCGTTTGGGAATCTTGTCCCGTTTTGAGAATTCTTTCCTCTCTATAATTTTATCAGTTCAAAAGCATATTCGCACAATATTCGTTTTGCAAAATATTGCAGGCTATCCTTTGAAGTTAATTAAAATCAGATTTTTTACGCTTTATTTATGTTACCTTACACATATTCTCTTAAATATCAGCTATCATTTGGAAGGAAATGTTTCTGTTCTTCCAAGTTACAAGTAAATTTATTTTAATTTACAATCAACTCAATTGCCAAAGTTTAAAATTTAGAGAGACATCGAATCTGGCATTTAATTTTCATTTATATCTTTATTTCGCTGTGTAAATATATACAATAGTCTGAATGTTGTTTCAAGACTCTACCGCCAGGCAAAACTAACGCAAAAGGATATTAAGTTGAAATATCTGATTTATGAGATTTAAGAAATAATGCAAGAAATCCTCAATAAACTAAAGAAACTGACTCCGCAAATAAATCAATGTATTTGAAATTTAATACACACATTTTTCGTGAAATGAGGAATCCGTAAGAAAAAGAATTCCCAACGTCCAGTGATAGTAAAAAAAGAAAAAGATTAAAGATTTAATAGAAACGAAGGACTTTGTTTGGGGGGAGGGATAAGAGAAACCGGTTTATATTTATATTATACTTAAGTAAAAGCCTCGAAAACTTTTACGCATGTTGACCGAAATTTGAAACTATGTCAAATGTTTGCATGTCGAACTATATGATCAGAGGTTTTACCTCTTACGACATCCTCTCATTTTAAATCCTTTTACAATGGCAGCCAAAATAAGTACTTTTCGCATTTTATTTCATATCTCATTTCGTATTTTGATTATCCCGAATTAATCAGATTGCCGGCTTTCAGCTTTTCATAACTACACTGAAAATTTTTCAAATCGTCAAAACCGGGTATTTTTTACAATTTTAAATTGCATATTTAGAAAGTATTAGTAGGTAAATTTTATTATTATATATTTTTAGCTGAGAAAACTTCGTGTACATTTTTTCCAGAAAAAATGAGAGTTCATGGTTCGGAGACATTGCTTAAGAGGGGAGGATTGCCTTCACGAAAAAACGTGCAAAAGAAAATGTTTTATTTTCACTCTACATACGAGGAAAACCATAAAATCATCCATGCGGCCAGCTGGTACGCTGGAATTAGAATTCAGACCTAACTACCATTGTTCAGTGGTAGTTCAATCTGCATTCGAATCCCGACCTTTTGTTGATAGCAAAGGTCTACAGTGGTACCTCGCGATACGATCTTAATCCGTTCCTGGACCGGGATCGTATAGTAAAAAAATCGTATAATGAACAATGTAATCTTATGTAATTTAATTAATTCGTGCAACGCCCCATATATAAACACCAAAATCGTCTATACGTAATAATAATTAGTCACAAAATAGTATATTAAGTACCACATACACACAATAAAGATTTATACCACATTTATAAATTAAAATAACCTTATAAATAAATAAAAATAAAAAAGAAAAAATAATTTCACTTACCGTAAAGTACTGTATAGTCAGCGAGGGATAGTTTTTATTACGATACTGATAAATTGCGCACAGCTTTTATAAAACTTAGACACAGTAATGAAAACTTAAAATTAAATTAAATTTCTTTTAAAATTAAATTTCTTATGTAAAATTACAGACACAGTAATGAAAACTTAAAATAAATTTTTTTTTTATAATTTTTATCTTTTGTAATTTTTTTTTTTTTTTTTTTAAACTAACTGAACTTAAAATTTGAGGTGATACATCATCGTCTTCACTTTCCTTTCTAGTTTTCTTACTAGAAACACTCGCTTCTTCACTTTCTGGGGCACTTCTCTTCGAAAAATATCTATCTAAAGAAGCCTGTTTCTGACGACTCCTCAAAATGTTTCGAAAATGACTCATACAAATGTCATTCACATTGTCCATTGCACGAGCTGCACGCATTTTTTCTGGGTGCTTTTTTTCAATAAAACTGTTTAAGTTTTCAAACCAACCGATGGCTTCCCGTATTCCGTAGATGTCAGTGCCACCTCCACCTACTCCTCAACACTCGAATGATGTTCCTCTTGAAGATCGCTGATTTGTATCGCCTCCAATGCCTTTAAGTCGTCAGTGTTGAGCTCCTCCTTGTGCTCGTCGAGTAGGTTGTCAATGTCAGCCTCATCGACAACAAGCCCCAAAGACTTTGACAGAGAAATAATCTCCTCCAATGCACCAGGATCATCCACAGCTTCTTCTTCAGTAGGGATTTCGAAACCCTCAAAGTCTCGTTCTGCAACCACAGCTGCCCAGAGTTTCCTCCATGCTGAGTTCAAGGTGCGCCTTGAAACCTCACCCCATGCCTTTTCTATGATTTTTAAGCAATGGACAATGTCGTAGTGACTATTCCAAAACTCACGGAGTGTGAGTTGCGTGCTCTCTGTCACTTCGAAGCATCGTTTGAAAAGGTGCTTCGTGTAAAGCTTCTTAAAATTAGCAATGACTTGCTGGTACATAGGCTGAGGATGGAAGTGGTGTTTGGTGGCAGATAGAGCACTTCAGTCGAAGTCGGGATGTATTTGTTCTTCAAGGCCAGGAGGATGAGCAGGGGCATTGTGGAGCACAAGGAGGCATTTTAGAGGAAGACCATTCTCCTCTAAATATTTTTTCATTGCAGGTCCGAAGCAGCAATTAACCCACTCAACAAATAAAAGCCTCGTGATCCAGGCTTTGGCGTTGGACCTCCAAAAGACGGCGAGCTTATCCTTCGACACATTATGTGCCTTGAAGGCACGAGGATTTTCTGAGTGGTATAAGAGTAGGGGTTTTATTTTTAAATCCCCACTGGCATTCGCACATAGGGCAAGAGTAAGCCTATCCTTCATGGGTTTGTGTCCAGGAAGTTTCTTTTCTTCTTCTGTGATGTATGTACGACGGGGCATTTTCTTCCAGAAAAGCCCCGTTTCATCACAGTTGAAGACTTGTTGAGGGATGTAGCCTTCATCGAGGATTAACTTTTTGAAGGCCTCGATAAATTCTTGCGCTGCTTTTTCATCGGCGCTGGCAGCTTCCCCATGCCTGACCACGTTATGTATCCCCGATCTCTTCTTGAATCGTTCAAACCACCCATGAGATGCTTTGAACGTTGGGGCCTCTTGTGTTGATGTCCCTTCGCCTCCTTCGTCTCTCTGGGCTTTTGCGAGGTCTTCAAAGATCGCAGTGGCTTTATGGCATATAGCAGCTTGTGTTATCGTATCACCAGCAATTTCCTTCTCTTTTATCCAAATAAGAAGAAGAGTCTCCATCTCGTCATTAAGGGCAGTTCTATTGTATGAGAAGGTGGTAACGCCCTTTGCAGACTTGCTGGCTTTAATGGATTCTTTATTCTTTATAATGGTACTAATCGTCGATTGGTTTCGTCCATATGCATTAGCAATAGCCATGATGCGTATGACACTTTCGTATTTTTTTATAATTTCCAACTTCACTTCCATGGTTATCGATGACTTTCTTTTCCCCTTATCACCACCAGCACTAGAAGCACATTTAGGACCCATGGCGAATAAAGTTTATCACAAAATAATATTACGATCACACAATCACAAGAATATCGTATGAACTGTACGAACGCCACGCGGTCTCGAGAAGGAGAGAACGATATCATATCGACCCTTTGTGTGGACTCGGTATAATACGATGCCGTGATGCCGACCAATAGGAGAACAGGATTTATAGGGAAAGGAGGATGACGTCACGTCGACCAATACCAGAACAGCTTGAATAGTGACGTATTGAGGCTTGCTGAGGCTTGCTTAGTGACGCGTGAGGTTTGCCCGTAGCGCTCCAGCTTCAAAACAATTTCAAGCGGCAAGAGATATTGGGATCGCATAGCGAAAAACGTATCGTTTCGCGAGCACGAATATTTCCGATATTCCACTTCGTATCTTGAACACATCGTATCGTGAACCCATCGTATCGCGAGGTACTACTGTATTTGTATATAGTCTCAGTTTCCTGAGATATCCGTATTTGTGAAACAATTACAGATGCCCAAATTTTGAGTTCTGCAAAATGTATTTTGACCGCGATATACTGATAAATATCCATGAGAAGAAATTGAAAATCGTGATTTCTAAAGAACAAAATAATGCCCGATAGAACAATCCCACCAAATCTATCTTTCTTTAGCTCACCAGTGACCGAGTGGTAAAATCGCTGAATACTGGTAATTCAACCTGGGCTCGAATCCAGGCGAAAGAGATGGCTGCATGAGCGTTTTCGTGGTTTACCCCATGTGTAACGCATATACAAGTCAGTTTCCTTAGGAAGTCCTCCACGATGGCTCCCTTAGACAGATAGCCCTAGTGTGCTTTCCCATAATAAGCTGAACCAAACCGTCTCTCTGGAAATTATTATTTTCAGTTAGCCTTGTACAACTTTAACATAAGCATTTACCCTGTTCAAAGTCTTTGCCAAATGATATTTGGTTGCAGATGATAAATTACAGAAGTCAAGTATTTTAAATGACGATAAATTACAAAAGTTTTGTTTCGTATCCAAGCCCACTCACTTTTATTGTAGATTATACCGTGTTTAGTAGTTTTGGTAATGCCGAGTACATACAACCATCAGTACTTATATTTTACTTATGTACTGTTTTTATATTAGGCATACCGAATGTGTATATTATTATACTATATATTGTTCATACACTATACTATTATGTTCAAATATGTCTATATTTAGATACCTCTTAAGTTCATACTTTAGCTTAAGTCTTCTATTTTTTGTTATAACCTAAAGTATTACTGAGGCTACTCATTTTTATTTATTAATAACTGTGGCAGGTATCTCATGGAAAGGCCATTGATAATGCATGCAATATATGTACAGTAACCGTGTTATAGAAAGTCAGTATTTAGATACTTGGTTAAGTCTTCTTATGTACTGTCTTATACTGTGTATACCCGAATGTGTGTATAGTTACACTTTTTATTGCTCTTATACTATGCAATTATGATCAAACATATCGGTACTTAGATATTCAGTGTAATTCTTCTACTATCTGTTATAATCTAAAGTATTACTGAAGGTACCCATATTATTTTGTTAATAATTGTGGCATGCATCCCCTTATAAAGGCCATTGATAATGTGTATAATCTATGTGCAGTATGCGTTATGTGATAGCTATGCATAAAAGCATAACGGTTTAGTAACGTCTGATCATTGTGCATTATTCTCAGGAATAACTCCACGAAAATATCCACAAACGCATGATGGTATTTTTCTAGAACTTTGGACTCTCCACTTCTACGTTTACTATGGCTATGGACTGATTTAGTGATTCAAACACGAATATTATATATTATTACTATTATTGTCTAAAGTATATTATTGTCTAAAGTAATCCCCCCCCCACGAATAATCGTAGCATTCCAATGCAAGGTGACTAAGCAACAATAACCTACCCTGTCCATGAAACTCTTCAGTGACAACGAATAAATTTACGTCCTACCCTGAGATTCTTCTACCGAACAGGTCCTGCCCTGTCAGTCCTACCCTGAGATTCTTCCACCGAACAGGCGTCATTCCGCATGGATTTCTAGGACGGAAGCCTGCTCCGTGGCGTACAGTAGATGAGATTTATAATAGATGAAAATCCAGTGAAACCAAGTGCAGCTTGTTTTAACAGCTGTAACATTATTTGTCCTCTCTACATTTCTTGTTTATAGCTTTTTCCTAATTAAATTTTAATAGTGCCAAGGAATTTTAGACTGCCATGTTTTATATCAATAACTGGTAATCTTTCAGAGTCTTTATTAATTTTTGTAAATAGTAAGCTAATCAGTTTTAATATTTTAGATTACTTGCCATGACCTATTAATTAATTTACTAGACACACTATTCTTTTTCCACCGAACTGCTTATAAACTTAACAATAAATATTTGTAAACAAAAGCTTCTGTTTTTAATTAGATTTTTTTCCTCATTATAGCTACATTTAATTATATTATAAGGGAAATCTTATATCTGGAATCTGCAATCTGCCTTCCATAGCAAGTTTTCCTGTTTCTTTCCCCTGATGTCTTTACGTTTTTAATGATTTTCGCGCTTCGCAGAAACCTGAATAAAACAGAATTCTTGTGCCATATTTCCGTTTTAACTGCCTAATTTGCAGCTGGATTTTATGGCTTTCGGTTTATTATTTCTCATGCCTTATTTCGTCTATTCACATAAAAACGATAGTAAAAATTGTTTTCATCGAAACATAGATCATCATTCAAACTTAATGTTTCTAAGTCCATTATTGAGAGCGACCTGTGTAGTACGGAGACAATTACGAAGTGACAAGCCGGCTCGACACTAAGATGCTTTGCTTGCGAAATGCTTAAATTTTTATTGGAAGCACTTGATCTACATTGATCTATATTTATGAACTCTTTTTTCCAAATGACTTATGATATACAAATCATTTCTAAGCGTTGCCAGAGGAACTGCAAATAACATTTAATAACCATTACATCTATCCTTGAAGCTAAAGACACTTCTTAATGGAATTTGTGATGCTTAGTTAAAATCACATGAATAAATTTTAATGGTTAATCACAATTTTTATCTTAATCAGAAACTAAATGTCTCAAACTAACTAAAATTAATTAGGAGATTTAATTTTAGCTATAAATTTGATCGTCAAGTCCTTAGAAAGTCTTAAGTCTTTTCAGCAAGGTCCTTTGCATCTACCATTTTAGCCTCTTACAAGAATTATTTCTCATAAAACTGGGCTATAAAAAAGATGAATGTACTACCTATTTTACGATAAAAAATATTTAGATTAAACAAAATTGTAATGACATACGATAAATTTAGGAAATGTTTGACGATTTAATGCTCACCAATGGCATAATAGTAAAACTACTGAACTCTGGTAGTTCAACACGTGTTCAAATATCGTCCAATAGGTTGGCTGCGTGGGAGTTTTGTGGTTTTCTTCATGTGTAACATGAGTACGAAACATATGTTCGAGACAAAAATCCTCGAAGAAGGCATCCCTTCTCTTAGACAATTAATCGTCATGTGATTTGCCATAATCTAAATAATTTTAATTATAATTTGATATTTGTAACAGGCACAAATTATTTGCATTCCGTTTGCATAGTGTAAATATTTCATCAAATACATGCCAAGGAATCTTTAAAACTGAAACAACTAAATGATATTAAATATTAAATTCGTACCTTCAGAGAGAAAATTTAGAAAAAAAGCTGGTTATTTTTATTTTAGATAATCTCTAACTTTGTTCAGAGTACCTTACCAATCGATTTTTTGTGATCTTTAACGGTGCGTGAGAAAGAATTAGCCCCACTGTGATCCCTGAAATTGAAAGCAAACAAGATAAGCATGTTCTGATAGTTGAAACTACCAGCAGTAATTGTGGGTAAAGAAAAAAGAATATTTATAAATAGAACTGACGTTTCTCCTTCTTTTTCTGAAAATAAATAAATAACAATAAGCTTAAGAATTTTGACTGATGTTAACACGCATTCTGACATTTTTGGTACACTGGTTGGTGATCGAATAGGTAAATCTTCCAAATACTGGTATTTCGATTCGTAATCAAGATCTACCAGCCTACCAGGGCCGAGCGATAACGTTTCTGAACACTGGTATTTCTACCTAGGCTCAAATCTTCAAAAAAGATCATTTTTTTGCCTGCATGGATATTTCCATGGTTTTACCTGTGTGTAATGTAGGCCGTGGACTGTTTCCTTAACCTTTTCATCTACGCTATTGGAGACTACTTTTTTAAATACTGAAACCATTTAATCAGCTATTTAATTAGCAAGGACCAGGAAAACAAATCCATAGTATCTGCCATTTCCTATTCAACTTTAAATAGCAAATTTTAAATCTCCATAGTAAACTAAATTTCCTTGAGCTTCATTTAAAGTTGAAATGAATGCATGGGACATACTCATATATGTCCCAGCCCCCAGGAAGAGGTTAAAAATAATTCTCGAAGTCATCCGTACCTACAGGAAGATAGCTTTGGAATTGCTTTGCCTTAATTAATTAACCTCAAAAGACCCAATAATGGCAGAGGGATAAAGTCGCTGAATGCTGGAAAGTTCTATCTGATTTCGATTTCAGGCGAATGGGCTAGCTGCATGGGCTTTTTCGTGGTAACCTCTATGTATGAACCAGTTTCTCCCAGCAAATCTTCCACGAGGACATCTCTCAACTTAAGCAAATAGCCCTTGCTTGCCTTGTGATATTCAAATAAATAAACAAAGACTCAGATTCAAATTCCCAGTGTTTGGTTTGATTGCGTGGGATTTTTCGTTGTTTTACTCATACATATTGAGAATACGAAAGAACTTTTCTTAGAAAGTCTTCCAAGAAGGCACTCTTTCTAAAGACACGTAGTCTATATAAGTCGATTTACCATAAACGGAAATACTTAGTCTAATTTGGATAATCTTATTGTCCTTTCATTTACTAATTCAAGAAGTTTGATTGCAAAAAAGAATAGTACCTTAAATTGTACAGAAAAGAAT